ACCCTCAAGAACATCACTGTGTTTTCTATCATTCTAGCTGCTCGATTTTTCTTGTCCTTGTGAATAAAATCTTCAGAAGCTCTGGGCCGCACTGACGACTCCGAGCCCTAGCAACCATACTTCAGAAACAGCTTTGGATCGATTTCGTGTCGGCCTATATAGGTCCGTTATTACTCTAAAAGAGCACGACGCGAGTTGAGAAAACCACGTACCCTGGACGAAGTAGGGGAATGATAGCCGGGATATCCGAATTGGGGGTCCTCCCCGTACCCAGACGCCCAGCAAGCAAGCAAGCAAGCAACAGAGAGAGAAAGAGAGAGAGGGAGAGGGAGAGAGCCAATGGTTCGAGGTCGCGTAGTCGACCCCTATGCCTTGCAGAAAGAAAGAAAGACAGAAAGAAAGACAGAAAATAGGAGAGCGTGCGTGCGTGCGCGTGCATATATATATATATGTATGTATGTATGTATGTATGTATGTATGTATGTATGTATGTATGTGTGTGTGTCTGTGTGTCCAACCCTGTTCCTAAGGGGTCAGCCTGAGTGAGGTGAAGCAGTGCATCAGCAGGGGGTGCAAGCAGCTCGTTCTGTCTTGCACCAACGAAGACACAGGACAAGAGCTGGTGAAATCCGATGGGATGCCATCGGACGTACCTGCAAGATGATTCACAACGTTAGCAATGCATCTAACATCCTCTCTGTATATGGTTATCCTCGCCGTTGCTTTGATTCTGATGCAAGTGAGTGCACCTTTTTAGGGTTTCCCTCGTTATCGCTTCGATTTTGCTGCAAGTGAGTGTGCATTCTACACACTCTGCATTTGCGAGGTACCAGGATTAAGGCTGATTCCTGACACCCACTGATTTCGTCCTGTTTTGAAATGATATACCTGGTTTTTCAGACAGATTTGAGGCCTGCCGACACAGTGTGTCAAGTGTGTGGGTGTGTGTGTACATATATATATATACACATACATATACACGTACATATATATATATATGTATATATATATATATCTCTGTGTGTATGTGTGCATGCGTGCGTGCGTGTGTGCGCACGTTCGTGTGTGATTGCGTGCGTGCGCACTTGCCGTTTGCCACAAGGGCCCCGCCATCCTCGGCGAACTGGTCATCGACGCAGGTCCGGTCAGTGAGGATTGTGTCCAATTGTGTGACCACGTGACACCGCATCCAAGCTTCGGCCGTTTGCGCAAAGATCGTTTGCGAAGTCTCCCTCGCAGGAGGAGACTCGCGTGGGGCCCTCTCGAATCACTTGACAAGCCCGTTCATGTTCTTAGGCTCTTGATGAGCACTTGTTTTGGGCACCGCAGATTGCATGCAACTTGATGGTGATGTGACTTGGCAGGAGGATACGTCGGATGCATGATAGTAGTCAACAAAGATCGAAACAACCCACGACTGGTACGAAGCAATGTGGCACGATGATGCATCGCATATGTGCCGTCAGGCCTCTCCGCTGCCCTCGCCGCCACCTCCGCCGCCTCCCCCGATGCAGCCCCATGGCAAGCGGTATTCTTCGAGTTCAGGGTGCGCGAGCATTCTCGAGGTCTGGCTCCGCCGGAGACAGCTCCAGCTACCTCCAATCCCCGGGTTTTGGGCCGGGCGCTTGCCGCTTCGCACGCAAAATCTCCTTCAGCTGCTTTGGCCAAGGGCGGGGCGCTCGGCCTGGACAGCGACGGAGGCCCAGTGTAATGGCGAAACATGGCTTTCCCCCACGGATTTGGTTTTGGAGGCGACGCCACGGCAACCCGGAGACGGCACTCCCACCGTGGATGGAGGCGCGGCTGTCCGACAGCTTTCCGAGACCTATCCTTGCATCTGGCGGCGATCAAATTCTTGCTTGAAAGATAGAGTCCGTTGGAGAAGTTGAGGCTTCAAACGTCCGCCCGATTTCAGGATTCTCGGATAAGGGGCTGCAGATACCCAGAGCTACCGTGGTAGCTCGGGCTGTGATTTCAAGGTGCTGTTGCCATTGTGCAACCTTTGTATGCCTTGTCCCGCAGGCTGGACTCCTCAACTCTACGGTGCTTCCACCCCCACCGTGATGCCGACGGACTCGGTCCCAACGGCTACTCAGACGGCCACCCACACGGCGACTCAGACGTCAGCGGCGACAGCCACACTGCAGAGCACAGAGGCTGCCGACAGCCATGTATGAGCTTTGCTACGTACGCTTTGCTATGCTTTGCTACACCTGTGGTATGCAGCAGCGGGCGATGCGGGAGGCTACGACGGCCACATTGCCCGGCACGAACAGCGTCCCAACGGAGCGTGTGGCCCCTGGCCATGCCCAGATGCGGAAGAGGGTTTCACGGTGAATCCCGGGCAGCCGGGCAGCCTATGGCTGAGGCAACCTCCCGGTAGAAGCAGAAGACGCAGAGGCCCCGAGAAACCTAGGACCTAGGACCTAGGTTTTGCCAGAGGCTTTCTTGTTTCGACTGCAGGTGCTGAAGGAGCAGAGCTCGAGCCTGAGCAGGAGGGCAAGAAATGGTCTCTTGCTGGCCCGGGGGCCCAGCCAAGGTGCCCTGACGAGCGCCAAGAAGGTGTGGTGAGAGTGCTGCGTGCAGGTTGCCTGCAGGTTGCCTGTGCATGCCATGGCAGCATCGCATGTCACGCCAGTCGCTGGCCTCGGGAACTGGCAATAGGGCACATGATGGCAGAAGATGGCATATGATGGCCACATGTAGCGGGAGTTAGATGGGAAAGAGCTAGTCGCTGGTAGCCTGCGCTTAGCCAGTGCCGCCTGCGCGTGCGCCATGGCGGTCGAAGTCGCCTCTGCGGTCGATGCCCTTAGCGCTCCATGGCCAGAGCCTCGCGGGTTTTCGCCTACTAGTAGGGCCCGGTTGCGTGGTGCGCATGTGGTGAGGTGGCTTCCTTACTGCGCCATGCTGGTCATGCTCGAGGCCTTCGTCCGGTAGCCGTGCTGCGTTAGCTGCTGCGTGTTAGCCGCTGGCCTGCTAGCTCTTGAAGTGCCAGTTTGCTCTCTTGGCCCTCTGGTTTCTGGTCTCTTCGGCCCAGAAGATGTGGAGCAACAGCAGAAAGACGGAGGTCGGCGTTGTGTCAGATAGGTGGAACAAAGCACGTCGCGCTTTGCCGCAGGTGCAGCAGGAAAGCTTGGACACCGAGCCAGTGCCTGGCAGTGAGTCCGGGCACTTGCTCGTGGCCAACGCGGCACCTTGTGGCCCGCGGGGGAAATGGGCACGTGCAGAGCCCAGAAGTTCAGAGCATATGACAGCAGCTGCAGCAGCGCTAGCAGTAGCACTAGCAGTAGCTCCTGGCCCTGACCCAGCTTCCTACTCCACAGAGCCCACGGAGTTCGACAGCGGCATCTGCCACGGATCCTGGCTTTGCCGGTGTCTTACCGCAGTGCTCAGGGCGCAGGACTGGGTTCTCAACCATGTGCACTGCCCCTCCGTCGAGGCATTCACAAGCCGACAGCAGCCAGGATCTCAGTTTTCTTCCGAGATCCGTCGTGTCCACGGACAGCCACTGCTTTGAGAACCGAGGACGCTGAGCGAATGAAGGCAGGAGACTATCCGTTTGCTGATCACCTGCATACCAGGAGCGCGTCTCCGGCATCAGCTCCGAAAGCTCCGTAACTTTTCATGCTCTACACATCTTCGCGGAGATAAACCCTTGCAGACTGAAACCTGCATCATCTCGGTGCCCTTTCGCCCCTAAGTCAGACTTATGACTATCTTATGACTAAAATATATGATGGCCTCAAAAATCCAAAAATCAAAGCCGCACCCCCTCTTTCCTCTAGAGCTCGCAGGAAGCGCCTCTGGGAGTTCCGGTTGCAGCTGAAGTTCCGAGAGTCAGTGGGGAGCCCAAGGAAATCCGGGGAGCTTTTGGAGCCTGCGCAGAGCCTGCGCAGAGCCTGAAGGTTCCGGCTGGGAACGTCTTCTTCGGCTGTGAGCAGGATCGCTATTATCATGTCGGCACAGCCAGGGCCTCACACATGGTGGGAGTTCATTTTTATGTTGCTTTGCGCTATACCATGGAGGTGGTCCGAGTTCTCATGTTCAGCTTGGTCGTCCGATGTAGTTATGTAGATGACACGGGGACATTCGCCAAACATCCGGGCCCGCCTCCTTCGTTTTAGTTTTGGCCTGTGTAAAGGACATGCGAAGGGCCTCAGACCCCCGAACTCTGCAGAACATGCCCAGTAAAGTTCGTGGCGATTGCACCGGAAATAGTGCCACTTGTGTCAAGGACACCACGAAAGTTTTGGAATCAGAGCCGTTTGGATTCCTCTTCGTGGCTTCTGGACCCTTTAAGGCAGCGAAACCACGAATTTCGCTGTGCCAGAGCCTCTCAATTATTCTTGGTGGCTTCTCCTTCCGAGTCCTCTATCACGGAAAACAAAACGAGCACGGGCCGTCATCCGCATTCTTCTTCTCAGCATTTTGTCATTGCGTGGCACGTCACCGTAATAAGGAACGAACGTATCCTTCCCAGTTTCTTCTTGCCATCTTCAGGACAAAGCTAGGGGTTCTGCGGTGTAGAAGTGTGGCAAGCGCAGTACGTGCAACGATTTGAGGGCATGTGTGGTTCCCTGTGCTGTGCTGCTGTAACTCTTGTATCATGTCCTGTTCGTCGTGTGTTGTGGGTCGAGCGGAGGGATGTGACAGAGTCGAAGGGCATGAGGCGCTTGGAGCCTCTGAGCTCTGATGTTGCGGGCACCTAAGATTGAGCGCTACATCTCCTCTTCGGTTATTGCGCTGTTGAGGCCGGACGGACCATACGAGTTAGATCATGTACGGTCAGCCAAAACATCACATGCAGGAAAGCTTCTGGCGATGCCATGTGGCTTTGGCAAGTTTGAGGATACTTCTTCCCCATCTGCTGAAGACAACTTGGGGTAGGGTTCAGTTGTGTGAAATCTATACAGCGTCTCAACGAGGTACCAGACGCATGGTGACGACCCCAAGCCAGCATCCTAGAACCACGACACCACACCTTTCACTTCACTCGAGTCTCCCCGGGCCCCAAAGACGAAATTCGAGGTCTGTCCAGGGCGAAGCTGAGCGGCCGACCATTGCCTTTCCGCTCTGGGCCGGGGGCCGAAGTGCGGAAAGTTTGGCACAGGGGTCTACAGGACGAAGAAGTGAGAAGGAATTACACAACTGTTAGGGAATTCCTGTCGCAGTGATCCTGGTGGGGTGTGCAGAAAGACTTCGCATCAGCGGAGCCCTGTACCCAAGCGTTAATGCCGACGACTGCTTGATGTGTAGTGACTTTGTAGTGCAGGCAGGGTCGCGGCTGCAGGCTCGGACTTCGTCCAAACACGCAAGCGGGTGGGGCTGAACCGGGCAGTAGGTGGGAACGAGTGGAGACAGCCGATGACCCTGATTGTTAGTGAGGGTAAAGTTCAACAGGAAGAAAGAAGTGCACAGAGGACATTCGAAACTGTTGTGGCATTTGCTTCGACGACTGATTATCAATTTGCACCTCGTCGTTGCATTTCTTGTAGAAAAGAGAAGCTCGTCAATGATGTTGGTGATGACGGTGACGAACAGGACGACAGCTATGTTGATGCAGATCATGATGAGGGCGATGATGGCGACACGACGCAGGAGAATAAGATTACAAGGAGGAGCGCGAAACATAAGAAGAAGAAGCGCAAAAAGGAAGATAAAGTTGCAGCTGACTGTGCGGGTGAATATCGCGCCGATGACGCCGACGAAGCCGAGGAAGAAGGTGGTGTTGGCGGGTGGTATTCTTTTTGAGCAGTAGCATGATTGCGATGGCGCGGTGATGACAAAGCTGCTGACGATGTTGTTCATATTGATCCTGCTGCTTCTGCTGATGATGATGATGACGATGATGCGATGATGGCGATGGTGATGATGATGACGATGATGATGATGATAATTATCCAGATGACGTCGATGATGACAATGGTTGCTGGGTGGTGGTGGCAGTGGTGGTGGTGGTGCTGGTTGATGCTGATGATATCCAGATGACGTCGATGATGACAATGGCTGCTGGATGGTAGATGGCAGTGTTGTTGGTGGTGGTTTTGGTGGTGGTGATGGAGGTGGCGGTGAAGGTGGTGGCGTGAAGGTGGTGGTGCAATGGTTTCTGAGCAGTAGCATGATTTTTGTGATGGCGCAGTGATGGTGATGGTGATGATGATATGGTGATGGTGATGGTGATGGTGATGGTGATGATGATGATGATGATAATGCGGCTGATCTTCAGATGATGTCTATGATGACAATGGTTCTGGGTGGTAGTGGCAGTGGTGGTGGTGGTGGTGGTGGTACATGGGTACACAACTTGTTTTGCCCGGTGCAGGGCACGTGTCACGGGTAGCATCCTCATTATGTGTTGCGAATGCTGTGATTCTGATTCTCAGTTGGACAGCAAAGATAGAGATAATATTCCCAGGTCATGGACCAACTGATCATCACCGAGGAAGGCGACGAGCCACCCACCCTCAATGTGCGGGCCTCGGGATGACCTCAGAAAGCCAGCCCCTCAGCTTCAACAGTCTCTTCGCTCATCCCTTCTGGCTCAGTTTTTAGACCCCGGCTTCCGGAACGGGCCGCCAGGGCGCGCACAGGAGTTTGGGAGCTACTGCCCTCTTCGCAAAATGTCAGCTGCCAAGGGCAAGGTCGCTAAGGTCGCTACCGTGGAAGGGAAGGTCCAGAAGATGAAGCTGATGGAATTAGTCCAGCGAACCATCATGTGCAAGTTCTTTCGCGCAGGTCGTGGGGTGAAAAATTTCACGATTAGCTAAATCTCTTGGCCCTCGGGCTCGCGCTTCCGCAGGTCTTTGCAAGAGAGGCTCCGGCTGTACCTTCGCTCACGACGAAGCGGAGTTGCTGTCGGCTCCGGATTTGTACAAGACGAGTCTTTGCTCAAAGTTCCAGCGGAGTCACTATTGCAAGAAGGGCGACCGCTGCAGATATGCGCATGGAACGGAAGAGCTTCGAGAGCTGCCGAGTAGAGCTTGGATCGATAAATCACGTGGTTCGGCCAGCGCCTCCACGGCTTCCTTCGGCGATGTCAGTGAGGAAGCTGATTCTTCCTCCGACACAGAGCAGATTTGCTTGCGCGTGAAGAACACCTTCCTAGAGTTCGGCTACAGCGAGAGCAGGCCGATGAAGCGCACTGTAAGGCCGCCAGGCCCCAATCTCGGTGCCTTCCTTAGCCGGGCAGGTATTCCCCGGCCACTCTCCGGCGATGCGACTCCGAGCCTTGAGACGCGAGTCCAGGCTTGGGGGCTGCACTTCATGCATGCAAGTCCATGCATGCATACAGACATGCGAGATCCATGCAGACACACATGCAAAGCTCTGCGCCCCAAGACGAGACACGAGGGTTTAGGGTGTAGGGTCAAGGCCTCTCAAGAGGTTCCCGAAATCTCAGACACACATGCATGCACATGCAGATGCGCGGTTTTGCAGGGTGCGCTTGTACATGCACGTGCCTTTTTTCATGCTAGGCACTACGGCACTGATATGAAAGGTAGATCCACCCACGCCAGTGTGACGTCTGCACCGGGAAGTGACACCGCTGATCGCAGCTAGCATTTGGCGACCGCCCGTCGAGTCATAGGCTGATGTTCATAGCGATCGCAAGCTGATTTCCATTCACTATATGGGATAAGATTCTCAACCCGTCGCATCCCTCTCGATGCTTGTCAGGCCAGCAGCGATGGTCCAGCGCCACCGCCATCTGCATCAAATCCAATGAGTATAGCCGCATCAGATGCTCGACCGAGTGATGCGAGTGATGCAACTGGCCCTCACGAGTAGGGCGCCTCCGACATACTGTGTTTATGGGCCGAGCTGGCTTGTTCGAAGTTTGCCCTTCAGCTTCATGCGGTCTACAGTCTGCAATCGTTTTGTTTGCTTACCGCGGTTGTTTTTGGCCACCATGGCCAAGCGAAAACATCAACATTGCCTAAGCTTGAGCCCATACAAGATCCTTGAACGACACTTTCCACGATGCAGCCGCTGTCAGATGGCGTCGCGGCGTCGGCTCGTTAGGAACCCCTTTCACTCAGACTCTTTGACCCATGCCCATCCAAGAATCGGTTCTGCCTGACACTCTTGGGAACCTCTCGAGCGGTCCTGCAAAGTGTCCTGCACTGTCGCACAGGTAGCCACTCAGGAGCCCTCAGCCCTATGAACACTAGGCCGAATGTGAGCCGCCTGTGCGGAATTTTGAGAGCTGCCACCCTCCATGTGTCGGTGCCATCAAGTGTTCCCGAAGATCAGCACAGAGTGCTATGGAATTCGGCCGGGCTGCACAGACATGATGCTACCGCTTTTGATGCAGTCTGACGCGAAGCAGCCCGGACATGGAGAGAAACGTGGAACTTCAGGTCATAGAGTTGCAGTGTGCAGTGCGGTGTCCTAGGACCCAGACTTCTCCTCCTACGGCACGATTCGTGCTTTGGACCGGAAGCGCATGCAGGAGGTGCCTTTTCGCAGCTGCCAAACGGCCTTGGAGCTTCCTTGGGCCCTTCGGTCCTTCGGCAGGTGATGCAGGGTCTGGACTTCCAGCCGGGCAAAACCTTCACCTTTGGCCGGGTCCCTAAAAAGGAAGAAGGGGTGACTCAAGGGCTCCTCTCTTCTGCTCTCGCCGAGGCTTTTGGTGCATTGCTCAGTTCGTCGATGCAGTCGGCTGGCGAGTGCCGGGAGCCGGGCCATGTCCGGCTATGTGCTATGCCAGCGCTTGCTGGGCTTTGTTTGTTGAGGCCAGCTCGGGGGGTGATTCCGGAAGTGAAGCTCAACGAGATCGGGACGCACCCGCCCAGCCCTCTCCGGCTCCGGCTACGAAGGGGGGGGGAGCCAAACTCGCCCTGACCTTTGAGGCCGATCTACATCACCATGTACCTGCTGTCGAATCGGGACGAATGGAACGCAGAGCTCCCAGCACTCCCGCCTGTGGCTTCGGTTGATGACGAGCTTCGGGAAAAGATGCAGAAGAACAACTGTGGAAGTTTACCAAAGACGTAGGCAGAGTCTAGAGCCTAGAGACCGGGGCCTCTCGCAGCCAAGCCCGAGAGGTTCAGGGCACCCATGACGAGCGGCACCTGGACTCCAGGCCAGCCCCGCAGTGTCAACTCGGGGCTCGTGAAGAGAGTACTATTGCTACTACTGCTACTACTACTACTGCTGCTGCTGCTACTACTACTACTACTACTACTCTGAGAGATCTGCGGATCTTGGATCCAGGAAGATCTACATTTGGCGCGTGGCTGCATGGAGCAGTCCGTGCCTCAGAGAGCCAAGGGTCTTTCACGAGCCCTGCATGGCGAGACCTCAGGCTTGCTGCCGCCCACACCGAAGCGTCAGAAGGAGAAGTCCAAATGGTAAAGACATCCAGAGACGTGAGGCTTCAACCTTGAAAAGCTCTCAGGGCCGACAAGAGAAGCGGGCCGCCCCACCCCCCAAAGCCCCAGACCGCGGTGTTTACGCTCCGGCAAAGAGGAGCTCTTGGCCAACACAGAGCGACGCTTTTCCGTCTCCACGCCGAAGGGCGCCGAACTGAGCCTTTGGGGAGTTCTCCCACATAGCATCAGGTGGGCGGGGAGCAGTCACAAAGCGCTTTGGGACGCCACCGTCCTCAAGAGATAACAACATGCGACAGCACAATTTGAAGTGCCAGCAATGTTGTGGTTCAGTCAATCAAAAAACTATCCGAATGCCTCACGACCGGTCTCGGCTAGGTATCTTGACGTGACTCTATTCACTCTATTCGCATGTCAACATTGAAGCATATTGAAGCATCTTGCAAAGAGCTTCGGCATTAGTGGCTGGAAGTGATCCCTCCATGGAGCTTGCGAGCTCTGCTTTGGTGGAGTTGAAAGACTTCGAAGGGACCGGCCGGGGTGTGGCTGCCCTGCGCGACACGGAGGAAGGTGAGGTGCTTTTGGAGGTTGAACTCAAGCACTGCTGGACAGCGGAAAGGGCAAGAGAAGCCTTAGGAATCGATGGCCTCAGCGAGAAGGAGGCCATCTTGGCACATCTCATGGTCGCAAGCGCAGGCAAAGACGGCGGAAAGTCACCGTCCTGCCACCTACAGCAGCTGCCTACACTGGAAGAAATGAATCTTCCGAACTTCTGGGCAAGTGAGGACCTCGACGAGCTGGAAGGAAGCGAGGTGCAGACTCACGCCCTGAGACTCCAAGAGGAGCTTCCGGAGGACTTCTCGCAACTCTGCAAGAAGCTGAAATCATCAACTTTCGAGCTCGCCGAGACATTGAGCTTCGCAAGCTACCAGTGGGCTTGGAGCATTTACTCCTCCAGGGTCATGTCCTTGAGTGTCAGCGAGGGCAGCCCGATCTTCGCCATAGTGCCAGGGCTGGACATGTTCAATCATTCGCCCTGGGTGCCTCCTGGGCTCTTCAAGTTGGATTGCGAACGGAACATGGTCGTCATGAGAGCCGGCGTGCGGTTGGCTGCTGGCGAGCAGGTCTTCATCAACTACGCGCAGCCTATGTTCAACAGCCAAATGCTGCAGTCCTTTGGGTTTGTCCTTGAGGAGGAGGAGGAGGCGCTTCAGAGCTCCCAGATCACGCTCTCCCTTCAGGTTTCTGCTGCCAAGCTGATGCTGCAAAAGCGGCTCCTGGATGCTACGGACGGAGGCCACGAGATGCTTCACAGCCCAGCATCGGCTGACTTCGAAGGGTTGCAAGAGCTGATCGTCCGGCACACGCTCACCCTGCAGGAGCCGCTGCCCCCTGCATTCTTGGGTATGGTTCGGGCTCAGCACTTGCAGGGAGACGCCCTCCACCCGTCTGCGTCTGCATCGTGCCTGCAGGGTCTGCAGGGCCCGCAAGCCAAAGAGGAGATGCGAGCTTTGCTCCTGGTGTCCCTGCTCTTGCAGGGCAAATTGTCGGAACTCCGTGGGGGCGACTTGGAAGATCGCCGGGTGCTGCAGAGCGGCTCTCTCTCCGGTGCTCGACGCCTGGCGCTTTTGCAGCGCTGCGGCGAGCGACGGGTTTTGTTGGCCGCCCGTGCGGAGGCGGAGCGGCTGCAGCTTCGCTGCCTGCAGCAGGCCCTGGACCGTTCAACGGATTGCCGGGAGAAGTGCGAGCACTGCCCGGATTGCCAGAAGGCCCAAACGCCATGGCTGCACCGACTGCAGGCAGCTAGCGGACGTTTGCAGGCAGAAGTGTCATCCGTGGCAAGTCTCAGCAAAAGCCTCTTCGACCGCCTGGAGGCGAGGCATTTAATCCAAGCCTGCCACCTCATCAACCTCTGGGTCGTAGGCATCTCTCCGCCGGCCGTGCCTCTCGAGACCGTGCAGAAGCTCTGCATCGCTCCAGAGACCTGGCCTTCGTCTTGGACGTCCCCAACTCCGGAGGCAAAGACTCAGCCGAAGGTTTGGGAGGAGGAGAGTCTTGAGTATCTTCAGATCTACGTGCAGAAGTTGCAGCTATGGGGATCTTGGCTCCTGGCACAATGGATGCATGCAGAGGCGCACAGAGAGATTCAGATGTCAGTCATAGAGAGCGCTTTTTGAGCAGGCTTAACATGGTAGTTACACTTCGACATGTAGCCTCCGGAGGCCGTTTTGCTGGAGGAGCTCAGTGCCATGGGATCGGAGCAGGTCTCCTTACGCCAGAAGTACGCCTGGAGCCTTCCAACGGAGCAGGCCTTGGAGGCCTTGCAGCGCCGGGCACCCTTGTTGGAGGCCCGAAAAAGACCCAAGCTGAGAGAAGTGAGACGAAGAGAAAGGAGCAGTTTAGAGCTTTTTTTTGATGCGGGGCTGCCGGGTGTTCGCTTGCCAGGTCGGGGCCGGCAAGGGCTACTGGGCGTCCTTGCTGAGAGAGCGGTCGGTGGACATCCTGGCCTTCGATTCGGCCCCGGACCCAAGATTCAACCCCGAGGGGCCTGAGGCCGTTCTGGAGGAGACGTCGAAGTCTACGAGGTACTGCGAGGTCTTGGAGGGAGGGGTTGAGGTGGTGCAAGAGCATCAGGCTGGAAGGACTTTGGTCTTGATGTGGCCGGACTGGTTGGGTTTGGGCACCTATGGCCTGGAGTGCTTAAAGGCCTATGAAGGCAAAGAGCTGATCCTCGTCGGCGAGTGGCGGACAAGCACCTTCGGATCTTATGCGCCCAGCATCTCTCAGCATGGCCAATCCTTTTCCCTTGAGTTTCAGAAGAAAGTCGAGAGTGACTTCTGCCTGGTAGAAAGGATCGAGTTGCCGAGATGGCCGCTGTTCTTGGATTGCTTGCAGATCTTCCGGCGCCGCTAGAAAAAAGCAGGACCGTCCCGCCGCAAGTGTGTGGAGAGCCTAGCATCACTCGCAGCTGCGGGAGCCTGTCCAAGTGTGTATGTTTGGAGAGCCGAGGTGGTCAATCCAGCGTGGGCAGTTTGTGCTCATTCCCGGACATCCCGCCTTTCCCTTGTGGCAACTGGTTCAAGTGAGTTGCGAAGCCTCCTTGAAAGCTCGAGTAGTTCGGATCGCTGATACAAGCGTCCTCTTACAATGTCAATGCTGACATCTCCATCCAACAGGTTCGCTCAGCGTGGTACCTCTAAGTCCGGCTGCAGTGGCAACCACAGGCTGCACTGGATTTTCGAAGACGTGCGAACGTGTTGTGTGCTTTTGTGCTGGGCGGTGATGGACAGATGGTCCACCCACCCAGCCTGACCCAGTGCTCGGTACCAAGTACCATGTACCGTTCAGCCCGGCTTATGCCCGGTGTTGGGAAATGGCCCCGGTGCTGTTCTTGTCTCTGCGATATCTGTTCGACGGGATAGTTCAAAACTCATTGAAAACATATTTGCAGCCCGAGGCGTGCAAGCCTTGATGAATCTGCGCAGTTCACTGACTGACTCCGGAATTGTTTCTGGGTGCACACATACACTAAATACACAGACAAAGCCCTCAGCACAGCAACCTGTCAGTACAACTCAAACTCGTGCAGCAAAATCTTGTGTGCTGTTGCCCAGAGTTTGTGCCTCCTGGCTGTGTGACCTGCAATTCATTTTCTGAATAATTCACGTCCGTGGTTGAGCTTTTGCCGGAGCTGCGAATCAGCAGCAGCCCAAGAGACTCCGTGTCACTTGGCCACTGCCGCCCTTACGTCCGGTGATTCTGGTGAAGATGTATTTCTATGGACTGGATTCTGATCTGAGTTTTGTCTTCCATCGCTCGGCAGCTTAAGGTGCGGAGTAACAGTAACCTGAAGCACCAAGACATCGAAGAGGTGCAATTTACAGGCTACTTGGGCTGGGCTCAGAATAAGGCTTCAAGAGCCCCGTCCGAACTCCGTGAAATTCCATGCCATCGCAGGTTTTCATGGTTGAGCAGGTTGGGCAAGGTCCAGCTGATCCGCCGACAAACCACTTGGACAATGACTATCGAGGGCGGTGTGTCCAAAAGCCGGTCGTGGTACTGCCGTTGGCCTTTGCGTCTCCCAAAGGAACCCAGAATTCGAAGGAGCCTGCTAGCTGCTAGCTAAACTTAAACGGGGCCCCTGCAGCAACAAAACGTGCCATTTCTCTCTGCGGCAGGGTCGACGTGGTCCAGTGTGGCGGCGAGGGCGGATCACAACACAGGCCAGGCACAGTACAAGAGTTCGTGGCAGCGGACAGTGAGTACACGACGGCAGACAGCACAGTCATCATCAGATGGCACTCGTGGTTGTTGAGCTTCTACAGATACTTGAGGCTGCCAATCAGTATTCCGCAGAAGATCTGACTTACGGTGGCGGTTGATGTGATGCTGATAGCAGCGGCGACAGTAGTAATCGTATATAGGAGTTTCCACGACTTCCCGCCTCAAAGAGGAGCGAACCTTCGAGGAGATTGCCAACTACCTCCTTTCGGGGGAGGCGGGAACAGCGGCTGGTAGCCGACTCGGGGGGTCCCCATAAAAGCCTTCAGCTGCCTCGCAGAACGACTACGCCTCCTTTCAGTCAGGGGCCCGAAGGGGGTTTTGACCGCCCTGTCCAATTTCTGAGACTCGTGGCCGTGGTTTTCCATTGAGGGAGATCTGCAAGAACTTCGACCCGCCGGCGGCGTTGGCCTCAGCCGGTGAGCCCGACATGGAGAGACGTCCACGAAACGAGGACCCGCAGCAAATCCGGGCCGTCATCGAGAGATATCCAGATAGGTTCACAGTCAGCAGAGACACCGCCGCAGCCCGAGCGGAGACTCGTCGAGAACGTGAACGTGTCGAGCAAGTACACGTGGTGCAGAGTGCAAGCTGAGGTGACGGTTGTGGATGCGCACCGGAAGGAAGCCATCACCTGTCCTGCACCCGGAGACAAACTGCCATGCGCCGTGGGACACTATGGGTGGGGTGCGTTTGAGGCATGATTAAGAAGCTGGTGGTGCGGGACATGGCGCATGTGGAGATTGACCCGAACAAGGCCGGAAGCCACCTGCCATCCACCCCTCCTTGCGACAGCACCCCATCCTTTTCCCTCTTTGGAAGGCCTGTGAGCACATCTGGCAAGCGGCTCACTATGCTCTGAAAGCGCAGCTCTCAAGAGATCCAGGAGCAAACGAATAAGAGAGACACAAGGACTGCGGTTTCCAAGGCAACCCCGTGCCGAGTCGCGCAGGCTCCTGTGTCGGTTTTGGGAGGGAGCAGTGTGGCCGATGGTGATGCGCAGTGAATACGAAGTGTGTTGTGCCGCCTTGAGATCCTCGGCTCTGTGGCGAAGGCGACCCTGACGCAAGGGGCCCGGCTTGGCGGCTTGGCCCTCTGCCCACGGCTGGACCAGTCTCTGGCTCTCAGGTACCCGGACGAGGTTGGGAAAGGCGTTTATCCGGCCAATATGCCCCTGGCCATGTCCCCGAGCCTTCGGACTTCGCTGAGAAGTTTAATGAAGAAGTGGCGGCGGGAACGGAGATATGAGGCCCTTGCCTGCCTCATCGACCGCATGGTGTACTTGGCCCGACAGCGAGGCTCTTTAGCTCCTCAGAGACTCAGAGCCGCTGTCTGTCTCGGAAGGCTCCCAGCTCTTGGAGAAGGCTCTCAGCCCGAAGCTCTACGACATCCTGCTTCGGAGGCTGGGTTTCACCATGTTGCAGCTCTCGCAGACAACATCAGACAACTTCTGCCAGGTGGGTGGTTGGGCGGATCAAAGGCAGCCAGTTCCTCGCGAACATGATCCTCGCCCAGGATTATGTTCAGGGAAGTGAACTACAACACCTCAGTCGGTGTCTTCTTTCCATTGTTCCGTAAGTGAGCAAGTGCTGAGGATCCTCTTGTGGGAACGCCTCGGCTACTTCGAGGTTCCTCGGCAGTGGAAGACCCTGGATCTCCTTTGGGTCAGGGACCAATGACTTCAGAGGCCAAGGACCTCGACAAGTGCAAGGAATCGCTGTCTCGGCCCCAGTTCTGACCGGAACGTCTCTGTCCCCTGTAGGGTCAGAATGTGACACATGCCATCAGAATACTACAAGAGTGGCAGCTGCAACTTCGGCACATCACGATAAGCATAAGCATGGGGAGAGCCTAGAACGGAAACAACAACGCGAGAGCACAGCAATAATCGTAGCAATACTCGAAGTAGGAGTCTGACAGCGGTGGTATACACAGGTGAATAGTGATGTTGTTGATGGTGATGCCCTGGCAACAGTCGTCCTGGCTCTCAGGGTGAGCTTTGTGTTCAGAGCGCCATTGGCCATGGCCATTGTCGGTGAGTCCGGGCAGACTGCGAGGAAGGCTGCGGCGGAGTTGTCTCTCAAAGCATGCTTACACAGGTTCCCACCACCGGTGCCGCAGCCAAACGTTCCCTCATCGGATCCTGGCACTGCCTCCTTGGAGGCCAATCCGGGCAGCTTGGGGCACCCTGAGCTCTGCCGTCGTCCATGCATCTACCTTTTGAAGGGAGGGGCCTGCCATGCCGGGCATACGTGCAACTTCTGCCACCTGACGCATTGCACGCTGGATGCAAAGCTCGATCAAAAGCAGCGGCGTCTCCTGCAGAAGATGAGCCCTGGGGAAATGCTCGCCACGTCGCTTGGCTTGGTTTCGAAGTTTGAGCTCAGGTCACCGACAAAACAAGCTCAACATCGTGAATTCCCCTGAAAATGGCTCAGCAGAGAGAATAAAGGCACATTTTTTTGTCGCCAGAAGCTGCAGAGGTTTCTTCCCCACTTCCGGAGCAGGGCGGACGAGACAGGCCTCCTCCCTCAGGCCGAACCACTGATCCACTTGTTGCTGAAGGAGCTGTGCCCTTCCGACTCAGAGGCGATCGCAGAGGGCAGACATTCGCGACGATTCCACGCAGCTTTGTCAAGGATGAGCCTCGCAACCCTGGCAAAGCACATGTTGGAGTCCTGTTCCGAAGAGGTGAAGGAGGCTTTCGAAGCTCTGAGGCGACGTCAATAACGTTGGCCGCAGCAGAGAGCCGAGTCTGCTCCCAGCGGCGCAGTTTAGCCGCCGTGAGGCGAGGCGATCTGAGAGAAAAAAGGGGAAGATCTCCCTCCACAATTCGTAGCTCAGGGCCGATGAGGGGGCTTCGGCCGACTTCAGAAGTCTGTGCCGACAGCGAGGTCTCCTGTGGAGTTGTTTTTCATGAGCCGTCTCGGTTCTTCTTCTTTCTGTGGCAGCATGCGGTTGACAGTTCCAGCATGCCGGCCATGTGGTTTTCAATTTCAATCCTGCCAGGGAGTGTATTCTCGGCAGCCCCCGCAAGCGGAGCGGGCTTCAATCCCCACTGCAGAACAGTGCTGCGGAAAACGATTGGACAGCCTGAAGCTGCAAGGCAGTCTTTCTACGGGTCCCGCGCAGAAGTATGCCTCGCCAGAAAAGGTACATTCTGATTGCGTACGCGCGGCATGACGGAGTGCGGGAGCCTCAGAAGGACGGATGCTCCAGAGTAGCTGAAGACTTCCTCACGAATGGTCAAAGCTTACGCCCAGCATCACTGCACCTTGACATGAACCCCGTGGTGCATGCATGCATGCATGCATATATGCATGCATGCAAGTTGGAATATAGATGCCTTTCCAAAGTACGTTTATTTCAATTGCTGTGTGTAGATGTGCAGAAGCAATCATGGTGCGAGGCCTGATCCCCCCGACAAGGATTCCGGAGATGGCTGGTGCCTGCCGCAGGTTTTGCAGTTGAGTGCTCGGTTCCTCTAAGACTCGGCAATGTAGCTGGCACTAAGAATACACACTGTCAGGCTGATAATAGATGCAAATGAGCGAAGGAACACACATAGGAGACATGCGACATGGTGACATGCATGATTTCTATGCATCCATGTGAATGAAGTTAGGCAATCAGCCATTGCTTGAAGGACCGCTGCACGCTGGCCGGCATGGCTCAAGTGTGCACAAGAGCTTGTCGTTTGGTGGACGGAAAAGCAGAAGCTTACGTTTGAGCAGACATGCATTGGATGTATTCCCCTTTCATCTTGATATCTTCAGAGATAGTCCGTAGGTTGATGCACCTTTCCTGCATCTACGTCAGTTCAGTACTGCGTATCGTTGCCTGCCTGTCAACATGGCAGCGGAGCCGGTCTGCCTTTAAGATCCAGGGCGGTTGGCAACACGAGGACGAGTTGTTCATGAACATGGACACCAAGGAGGACGACAAGCGTGTACCATCCTTCGATGGCCGTCTAGATCTGTACCGGGACTACAGGAAAAGGGCATTGCTGTACTTTCACGGCTTAGAGGACAGCAAGCAGGCCCTGGCAGCTCCACGTCTTATCGCGAATCTGTCAGGACCAGCCTTTGAATGTTTCCGAGAAAAGGACCCAGGAGCTTACCGCAATGCATCTGGCGTGATTAATATGTTGGCAGTTTTGGATGCGCGTTTCCAGTTTACACCGGAGCAGGAGTTGTCAGATTGGCTGGAAAACCTGCTGTATAGGATGCGCCGCAGACGTGGCGAAGAGACGACTGCTTACACGACACGCTTTGAAACAACTATCGCAAAGGTAGAAGACCTGATCACCACAGAACTTCGGATTGAGCGCCGACGCCTGCAAGACCATCAGCGAGCAGAGTTTAGGCGAGCATCGCTGGACTACATGGTGGCAATGCAGGCTCACCAGGCGACAGTGGCAGGCCTTGCCGATGGAGCGCCAAGGCCGGATCCGCCAGAGGGCCCCGCGGCTCCAGAGGAGCCGCCTGCCGTGGATCAGTTCAAGTTTCCTGAGGTGGTCAAGGGCTTTCTATATCTGCGACATGTGGGCATCAGTTTGCAGACGCGAGCGAGCTTGCTACGCTCTTCGGGTGGTTCTCTGAGGTATGAGAGAGTCGCCGAGCTTCTTCGTAAGACGGAGCTTGATGCGATGGTGGCCGGGAGAGTCACGACCCAAGCAGAGCAAAGCAGTTTCCTGGCAGACGGCCAAGACGACGATTATAACGACGACTACGATGACGAGGAAAATGAATCCTATGACGACTCGGATGGGGAGGACTTTGGCGGTCTTGCCGAAGGTGAGGAAACGGAAGATGCTGGCGATGGTGGCGATGTCATGGCGGAAGATGAGGAATACGACTCAGCGATGTTGGGTTACCTGGAGGCCCGGCAAAAGTTGATGGCCTTGCGAAAGGCGAGGGGCTTCAGGGAGCCCAGCGACCAAGGTCATGACAAGAAGCCCTCCAGCTTTAATCGTGGAAAGATGTTCTCTGGGCATAAGGATGGCCACCGAGACAGCAAGTCCAGATCCTCATCATCGACAGGACGGTCTCGCGACTTTCAGTGGAAGGAGAGGCGTTCGCATGCCTCATCGTCGCAAGGACGTGCGCGCCAGAAGACGCCCCCACCAGGTCGCGATCGAAAGTCGAAGGGCAAGGGGAGAGGCAAGTCTCCAGGGAAGCGCCAGGGCGCTCGCAAGGAGCCGACCGGCGCACAGTACCTGGGCATGGCGACGGCCAATACGCCTGGCGCCACACCTTATCCTTCGATGCCCGTCCCCGTGCAATTTCAGCCTCAGTTCGATTTTATGGCAACCCACTCCGGCAACACCGAGACTCAGGAGGTTGTGATCGGTTCCAATCCTGCCTCAGCCTCAGTCGAAAGCTTTGTTAGCCAGTGCCTTGCACAGGATGACCTGCTAGGTCTAAGTTCGGCTGCGAGTGCTCGGGCTGAAGCGTGTTGTCTTGTGACACCTCCTGGGCATGCTATTTTGGATACGGGCTGTACATCCACCTTGGTAGGTTCAGAGAACGAGAAGAGGTGGAACGAGGAACTACAACGCATCACCGGGGGCAGCTTAGTCCCAGAGAAGGGGCCTTCCGAAACCCGTTTTGAAGGGATTAACGGTGAGACCAGGGCTAGCTACACGGTAAAGTATCCCGTGCGCATTGGCAAGCAGGATGGTTTTGTGCAGGCCTCCGTCATTCCTGGGAAGGCGCCCTTCCTCCTGTCAATTCAAGCGTTGAGGCAAATGAAAGCCAAACTTGATTGCGGAAATGATACTCTAGAGATCCCCGGACTCGGGGTAGTACATCTGGAGACCAACCAAGTAGGGCATTATCTCCTGCCATTATTCCAGTTTGGCTTTCATTCTGCCGAGGTTCCGGATTTTGCGCCAGAGGGAGAGTGCGAAGATTTGACCAGGCCACCGGGTCTGGAGCAGGAGCTACCGGGGTTGATACCAGCTGGTAGTTCGCACCCTCCTGTGCGCGAGCCAGTCTCCAGTGATGCACCGAAAGTACCAGATTTTGAGAGCATTGTGGGCCGTAGCGATACTTATGCTAGAAGTGTATTCCTTCGAGTAGCCAAGGAGACTCATGGCCCCTGGATTCCCTTGCCTCACGCTCTCAATGCTGTGTACTCGATCTTGGGACCCCGTGCGTTTGACAAGCAACAAAGACCCTGGCAGGTGAGAGCTGCTCAGATAGGCTACCGAGCTCGGGTCGTGCGAAGACCACCAGCTGCGTTGAGCGGGCATGATGTTTGGACGCTAGTTCTATCCCTTAGCGATGATGACAGGATGTTGCGGACAGTAGTCGATTGGACACCATGCCACGCATGCAGCGGAAAGGAGATCGGTAGTGCAGAGAGCAGCGCTCGCATGTTCATGTTTGTATTTGCCTTCAGGCCTGCAGCCCCACCAGAGACAGTGCCTGCATTTCCCTGCATGAACATGACTGCTAGGGTTCCCGAGGGTCCGAGAGATCTGCGCACAGTCTTCATGCTGAAGGACGGTAGGAAGGTGGAGTATCGCAATAGCAGGGCTAGGAGCTTTCAGTTGCCACCGAGGGGTGGCGGTCTACTCGTAGCCGACTTGAGTAAGCGATACACCTACTGTGCTCAGCAGGGGGACCTCCTCGAAGAATACACTTTCGAACAGCATACATGTGGGACTCATGGAGCAAGCGCAGGCAAGTCGGTCCCGCAACAGGCACTTGTTGCAAATCAACATGCTGTTCGATTGCCTTGTGTTCAAGAGCTCGAGTCTTGTGCGCGTGATAGCAGTGAAGACTACTTCAGTTGCGACGAGTGCGAGGATGGCGACAGCAGGGTTCTTCCGCGGGAAGTGCGAGCATCAGATGGGTCCGGAGACCGAGGTCCCCCCGGATTATGCCCATTGCGCAGCTACCGATCTGGAAAGGTATGCGAACAAGAACTTTGTGACGTACCATTGCAGCTTTTGCCGGGGATGCCGGCAGTGCAAGGGCAAGATCTTGCAGATCAGTACGCAGACCAAGAAGGTGACTTACTTTCCCATGAAGGATTGCAACCACACCTGCGTCCCAGCGCCTCCTCAATGCCGCGATGGGGATCTGGTGCAAGATGCGGGAGCCCACGATCACATCCTCGATCGACTGGGAAACGTGAGCTACCCACTGAACGTGAGGAAAGTGAGCACGGCACTCCAGCCATCACCGATCCCCAAGGCCAGATCACCAGTCGCACTGAGTGGTTCCGGATATGCACCCCCACCGGAGACGAAGAAGAAACCAACGATTGCAGCGATGATCAACAGCAGCGGCAGCGGCAGCGCTGGACCCATGGCCGCCGCGGCGCAGGATGTTCCTGCTGCCATGGCGCCGATTCCGGCAGCGCCAATGATGCCGAAGACCGGTCAGTCAGCAGCTCCCCCAGTGGAGCCGGCAATGCAGCAGATTCAGAGCCGTATGGCACCCCTGGTGCGAGAACCCGATACGGCAATGATGACTCCAGAGGTTGCGGCCGAGGTGGCTCGTCTGGAGATGGAGGCGAGCATCCTGCTCACGAGGGCGGCCCAGCTTCGAGCAGGAACCGCTACTCTGGCCCCACATGCGGCACCTTCGGCAAGGATGGCACCAAACTACGATCCAGATGGAACCGATGGTTGGGAGTTTGCGGCATTGCTGTGATGACAGCGCATATGGCTCAGGAGACCTTGGTGCCTCCTCCAATCACATATGAGGGCAGCGATCGTGAAGCTAATCAGTGTGGTTCGAGTGTTGCAGGGTGGCCTAGGGTTTCTCCAGAGGTAGATGTACTTGTAGATCGGGATGGAAGTTTAGATCTGCCTGAGTGCTGGAAGGCCACCAAGGTTGAGTATTCCCGGCGGGCCACCAGGTCCGAGCTGAAGCGATGGCTGGGCCCACAGGGTTGGAAGGTTGATCGAGGCGTTGAGGTTGGCCTCGTAGAGGTGTACGCTGGTAAGGCGAATTTGAGCCAGTGTTTTGAGGAAGCTGGGCATGGCGAAGCGATTAGGCTCGGTCTTGCGTGGGGCCAACAGTTGCGCGGCAAGGAGGCTAGGTGGTATCTGAAGTCGTTGCTAGAGTTGTGTAAGCCTGAAGATGTTTTCGTATCTTTTCCAGCGAATGGGCGTCGCTTATTGGGGGGTATCTCCGAAAGGCGTAGTCTGGCAGTGCGACAACAGATATTGAAGGATCGCCTCTCAAGTCGCGATGATTTGGACCTCCTGTTTGAAGTGATTGAGTGCCAGGCCATGGGCAATAGGCATACGCATGCAGAAGCCCCTGAGGCCAGTGGCTTATGGGGCGATACCAGGTTCAGTCGCTTGCGCATGGCTCACGGCTTTGTTAACTTTGATCAGTGTGTTCTCGGCCTACGGCATCCAGCCAGTGGAAAACCGCTACGGAAGCCTACCCTCGTTTTCACAACTAAGCGGACCCTAGCCGA